ATTGTCCATGGAGCAGTGCTAATTAGCACAGCTATTCACTGAACAATCCTTCCTCACAATAAGCAGTCCATTGCTCCTTCCCAGACAGAGAACATTTAAAATACAAGAACAGAGCCCATATTCATAACCTCGCATACAAAATCATGCAAATATGAGTAGCATGCATAGAATCAGTAGAGCATAAGCTTCCATTTGACACCTCATATGGCTTACTTTGTACAGAATTTGGGGCAAACACTACCCGGGGGTACAACAGTGATCTACCTGCGCACTTTAAAACCCAGTAACGTGACAGACACTAGCTTTTGACCAAACTTCCTAAAAGGGTGTCACAAGGAGGAGGGTGAAAAATTGTTCTCCTTGGCCTCTGATATGACAATAACCAATGGGCTTAAACTGCAGCAAAGGAGGCTTAGATTGGGCATTAAGAAAAACTTCCTAATGGTCAGGGTGGTTAAAGACTGGAATAAGTTGCCTGGGGAGGTTGTGGAATCTCCATCACTGGAGATATTTAAGAACAGGTTTGATAGACCTCTGTCAAGGATAATCTAGATGGTGGTTGATCCTGCTGTGAGGACAGATGACTGGACTCAATGACCTCTCAAAGTCTCTTCCAGTTGTAGTATTCTATGATTCCCTTAGTCAGAATACCAGTGTCTGTCTGTCTAACTTGGTAACCTCTTATCAGAAACCCAACATGAAGATGAGGACTTCTGTCTGGATCACTGTTGGCTTTAGGATAGTAATGTAGAAAAGACTATTTATTAAACTGGATTCTGCTGTAAATACACAGTAACCCACAGAACTATGTCTATATTACCGCCATTTTCCCAAAAACACTTAACTTACGTCCACACTGCAATCGCGTTCTTTCGAAAGAAAATCGAAAGAACAGAGGGGGTTTTCTGACATTGGGTAAACACCTCTTTCTATGAAAGATAGAAGCCTTTTTCCAAAGAGCTCTTTTGGAAAAGGCGTGTGCGCCCTGGGAAGAGGGAGTTCTTTTGAAAGAAGAGGAAAACGTACAGGTGCGTGGCCACTCTGTCCATAGTCATCACCAGGGCTCAACAATGAGTGTAATCTACTCACCCATGGCAAGTTGATTACAAGCCGGCACAGCTGTGCAGTGCGGCC